TGTGTGTGTGTGTGTGCAGGAGGGGGAGAAGCATCCGGAAGGTTCCCAGTCAACATAGATTTGCGTGACGGCAGCGTCAATGACTTCATTACATGTGATAAGACTCTGGAACAGGAGGTGAGTGAGGTTCTCTGGGGTTTGGGTGAAGAGGTGATGCTGGGAGCTGGAGTCCCTGAGAACTCACGTATAGAAGTTACAACCCCAAAACAGGAAGCAGATCACCTGTAATGTGATCTGACATGTGAGGGTGACAGCTAAAGATTATTCTCATTATTGATTAAGTTTGGTTTATAAAAGGGAAGAAAAGAGCGAACAGTTTGCTGAATTAAGAGGCTATCTTTATACTATTGATACAATCTGTCCACTTCCTCGTGTGTGGATGGGTTCAGCTTCTAGCTATATGGCTCGTTGTATGTCAGTGAATAAAATGTGAAAATATTATAATACATTTTTTCTGCAGGTTATTGCACTGCAGCCCAGAACTCATCAGCCAGCTGTTGGCCCGCTCTCTGGGCCCTTCAGCCATTCACAGCTGACTTCCTCTTTAGTAGCAGTCAGGGTGTTATGCAGTGCTGACTCTGCTCTAATGGGCTTCTGTCACATGGAAGGACGCCTCCTTCAGGCACCATTGCAGTGTGTCATGATGCTCCCTGTTCTGCTCTGCTCTCAGGTGGAGCAACCGAACCTGACGACCGGATATTTGCTGGATTGTGAATTAAGTGAATCTTTGTTGTTTTATTGATTCTAATTCTGTCTTTCTGTCAATCCCCCAAGACTTACAATGAGTTGAGTTACAATTAAAATTCAATGTGCCACGTCTGTTATAACACGTGTGAGTGAAATACACTGTATGTGATAGACTCTTAAATCTCCCTGCTGCCACAGTGCGAAAACAAATGTATTTTTTCCCCTCATCTCTGAGCAGTACTTCCCCATCAAGCGGTACTTTTCACTGGCGGATAAGACAAGCTCAAATCACACCAGAAATCTGAGTGACAGCAACAAGACAGATGATGACTGGGAGGTGTCTGAGGCCGCAGGCTTGAGTGTATAATTATGCACAGGACTGCAGGCAGCAGGGACAGGAAGGCTGCTGGGGCTCGGTCCTCTCCGAGCTCAGCCCACAGCACCGCCCTGTCTGCCCCGCAAGAAACTTCTGCTCTGAATCACCGGGAGCAAAGCTGGAAGCCCTCGGAGGAAACTTTACACTGCCCCGCCGACTCCACTCACACTTTCGCTCTCCCAAAGTGTCAGACAGAGATTGGGATACATCACACACGCAAATACACAAACACACACATACATGGTTTGCGAAGGTCCTCTCCAGCAGGCTCTCATTAAGTCGTGTTCCTGGGCTCTACTCCTGTTGTCCCCTTGTGATTGGTGTCTGGCTTCGTTAGCTGTGACAAACACTGATTGATCACAGACACTCAATGACTTTGGCCCTAATTTGTTCAAGGACAGCAGTCTTCTGTGTCCACACCAAACTTGTGTGCAGCTGGCAAATATCTAGGCTCAGAGTGTTACAGCTGAACATGGAGAGTTTGGCGACTGGAGCAAATGCTGAGAAACAGTTGGGGGTTGAAAAGGCAGTCAGAGCCAAAAGAGATGTGCAGCTTACCTCCCAACCTCGTCCACGACAGGAGCAGGACAGAGCAGGAAGGTATCTTCTATTCCAGCTGGTCTCTCATCTGCACAGGGAAAAACAAAGTCATAATTTATGTAGCAGAAACTTTAACATCTGCAACCTAAACATGGTTCCCACATTCTTCCTAAATGCACAAGCCAAACCAGACTCCCATGATGCATTAAAGTGTAAGGATTAATGCATTACAGCAATTTGTTGTAATAAGAAGCATACAAAAGAAATGAATCCATTAGAGTTAAGTTTTCTGCTCAGACATTCATATTTAGTTTGAATGTATTTTCCAGAGCAATAACAAGCAGGAAGTCATGTAAAGGTCCCAAACTTGATTAGTCATGGACACAATCTTTTGCCTTGTTGCTTCTTAACATGTTTACTTGGACATGAATTATTCCTTTCATCCTGCCAACCTGTGCAAAATGTGTGCGTCTGTGAGTGTGTGTCTGTGTGCACGGGCTTGTGTACATTTGCACAACTTACCCACACTGTGTGTATCATTCAGTTTGAAGCTGCAGAGGACCTGGTTAATATTTCTGGCATGGAGAAACCCATTGCCTCTCACCACCACCTGGAAACTCTCTGAGACAAAAACAAAAAGAGTGCAGGCACCATCAGAAATAATTAGCAATATGCCAGCATGCATAACTGCATAAAATGGTAAGACACATATTTCCTGCTGTATGTGAAAGATGTAAAAGATCAAAATTGGCCTCCTGTTTTAGTTTGAAGCAGAATAAAATGAGTGCCATTCCCTTTCTCTGATGTGCTCAACTTAAGCTGTAGAAACTTGTGCATGCCTCATTACTGCTTGTTTATATCTGTGTGCTTGTGCGTGTATGTGTGGAAAGGCCATAATAAGCTCCAATGGTGCTAATGCTAAAGTGCTGCTATTCACAAATATGTGCCGTGCAGTAGCCAGAAGGTGTGTGCGTACGTGTTTGTGTGTGTGCGTGTGTGTGTCTTTGACCTTTAGTGTCCCCCAGGCACTGTTAAAGCGCACTGACAGTGGCTTGCCAGCATATGCTGGAGTGTCTATGTGGCTGCTACCCAGCATATGTTAGAGAGCGGGAAAAAAACACTTGCTTAAAAACATGCCTGCAGGACTGACAACAGCACAGCACTGTCAAAGTAGGTCTGACCTTAACTATGGCACCATTAGCACGTGTGTGTGTGTCTGTGTGTGTGTGAAGGTTGTGTATGTGAAGACATGTACATACTGGTGAACATACTGAACGCACAAGGGTTGTTCGCCTTTGTGTTTTTCTGAGGAATGTGTAAGCGTCTGCATGTTAGTATGAGCATGCATGGATGTGTGCAGGCATGTGTTTGAATGTGCATATGATATGTGTGTGTGTGTGTGTGTGTGTGTGGCACTGATGTTTCCTCTAGCATTATCTTGGCTGATGGAAGTGAACATTTGCCACACCTTTAACATTTACAGCTCCAGCGTGAAGATCACTGGATAAAAACATCTCAGGGTGTGGGTGTATATGTGACAGTATTTCCTTAAAGGTCAGACATTCTGCTATGAAAGAGCCATAAATACAGAGGCAGGGCCGAGTGAAGAAAACCGAACACCATTTTATATTTGTCTGCACATCTCTACATATTAAGAGATGCTGTAAAACTGATGCAGAGAGCAGATTTTATGTTGGAGCAGATCCAGGAGGAAAAGCGAAGATGTACAAGACAGATGGAAACTGAATGTGAGCTCTCACAGAACAGGGATCTGTTGTGTATATTACATACATCTTTCAGGTATTAGATAATGTATACTACTAACCACATTGTACCTTAACCTGTAACCTGTAACCTGTACAGTGAGTGCAGCTATTCAGCCTCATAAAGATAAAACCTTTTCTAAGTAGAATTTCTAATATCCAGCAACTGTCTACGTGTTTGTGTGCTTATTTATGTTCAATGACTTGCAACTTGTCAGTACTGCTCATGTCATTTCCTCAACTAGACTCAGATTCTACATGCGTATAGACACACATACACACAAATGCCACCCGATTAGCCACACACCTCATTACAGACAAGCCTAATCATTTACTGTTAACCACAACCCCCTGTCCTCTCTCTCCTCCTTCCTTAATTTGACTGTAAAACACAACCACAACAATAAATCACAACAATACAATATAATATCAAATAACTTGGATTCCATTAATTTACATATAAACTGGTGGTTTATGTGGTTTGTGGTGGTTTGCAGCCTCAACAATGTGCAACTTAATTAGAGGTCTTAAGACTAATTATTCCCAATGCTCGATGCCTTGGCTTTAGCAGTCACCCCCCCCCTTCCGCCCCTTTCACACAATGTTACCATCAAATAGCTGAAGCTGCAACTGTGACAGGGCGCACACAGAAAAACACATCACATGTAAATGGTACAAGGCAGATATTACTCCAATGTCAACTGTTGAGACTGATTACTGACGTACTCTTTTAAAAGTAGAAAGTGCATCAGAAAATTGCTTGCTGGCTTTGCTTTATTAATCAGCAAATAAGTGCATGTATCAGAGAAGAGTCTTATTCATTCAAATATTAAAGAGAGAGTCATTTTGAATATTTCCAAACAAAAAAACAAAGATTTTCAAATAAACTGTACCACTGTATGTTTCTACAGATGTCTTATCAATCTGAACATCTTCTATGCACACCCTGACACAAATACACAAACACACACACCAAGGCTTGATGGGCTAAAAGGTCATTGCTGTCAGACACATGGTGGGCATGGACTGGTGGCGCCCTGCTGACATGTACAACACATATGCTGCTGCCCTCTCCTCTCTGCTTTCTGCCTGCCTCTGTGGTCACATGTCCATTTACATCGACACCTGAACGCTTGACAAGAACTGCATGAATGTGTGTCTATGTGCGACTATACCACATGTACATGTATGTGTGGAGAAGATGGGGTACGGCTTGTCCGAACAGCAGCTCTTCAATCACGTTAGTGCGACGGGACAGTGAAGGGCAGGGAGGGGCAAAGGAGGACGGGACAGCGGGGAGGAAAGGGTCAGGCGTTAATGAAAGCAGCAATCTCGGCTGTCATTTCAGATCTAAGGCCCAACTCTCACTGGCCTTTCGGAGTGTGTGTGTGTGTGCGTGCGCGTGAGGGGGAATCGGTGCTGTCATGTCAGATAGTGTGGCCCAACGTTCACTGTCCAGTCTGATGGCCTGTTTGCAGGCAGCTCGGTCTGGTCACTTCACATCAATGTGAGGGACGTGTGTGTACATGGGCTTGACGATGTGTATGTGTGTGTGCTGACTAAAGAACATGTGTGTGTCGGTGTAAGGCATGTATGGTATGTGACTACAGGCAGGCAGAGAGAAAGACAGAGAGAGAGACTGTCACAATACCTATGTGATACGTCAGTATGTACTTATATGTAAGTGCATCAGGATGGATGGATGTGGGGAGATGGTTATATGCAAACATTTACCACAGTCTTTCAAAATAAAAGCAAACGCTTGCTAAATTGTGACAAGTGCCTCCCAATAACATTATATCACTTTATACTGCAAGAATAAGCTTTGAGTAGTTATTTCTCCATAGTACAATTTAAAGCAATTCATGAGCATGAGATGTAAGCACTGGATGTCTAAAAATAAGAGCTGTATTATTATTCATACACTGCCCACTATAAGGTTGTGTTCAGCACATTACAATCTTTGCTCTTCATTAATTAGGACAGAGTCCTTGGTTTCTTAGTTCACTGACCATTAGGCTGCTCATCAATCGAATAATAAATGAGGCTGTTGGAGGATATCTGGGCACATGTCAACTGATTCGCCGGGGATCTGGCAACAGACCAGAAACTGTAATTATCACAGGGGGGGACAGCTGTGATTCTTTATTATTCCTTCCTCATTTCTATCCTTTCAAGGCAACATATTCCTTCCTCTCCTCTCCTCCTCTCATCTCCTCAACTACTCCTCTCCCATCCTTCATATCCCATAATGGATGCTAATCTTCGTTGGTCGTCCTGGTAGCGCGCCTGCAAATGCACTCTCTTAAGTGAGTCCTAATAAGGTCATGTCAGAGCTCATCCATCCTCCTGGCTACACATAAAGGCTCTCTCTCTCATCATCTGCCTTAGTTCTTATCCTGTCTCCTACTTCCTGACGCTGTCCAGAAGCAGAAGAGCTGGACATGGAGGTGAGATGGAGGACAGGGTTGGAACAGCCATTTTACCATATACGATGTGGCAAACTAGGCCAGAGAAGCAGCCATGCTTAAAGATTCACGTCTAATTCCTCTGACCAACACCCCCCTTACTCCTCCTCTTTTATGCACACACGCTGTGCTGAAGTGGCTATGCTAATTTCCCCCGGCCGTGAATGACAATACGCTCTCTGTCACTCCGCAGTCATAAGCGTCCATGCGATTACTCAACCTAATGTTCCACCTCAGAGGCTTCAGATGACTGTCATCTGACACAATCGCACACCATGACTGTCCAATGTCTTAACAAGAAGAGGAAACTCTTGCTCCTCAAACCTCTTACCTCCTGCACACACGCTGGACGGCTCTGCCGCGAGAATCTCAATGCAGGACTTCTTGATGATCTGAGAGATCAGACAAAAGAAGAAGGAAAAACACAGTCACAAGACAATTTAATGACATAATATGGTTTTGTGTGCCTCTGTCTGTGTGTGGATGAGTGTGTGTGTAAGTATACATGTGGTATGTATGTGTCATACCGAGTCAATGATTCCTCTGAGGGCTTGGAAGCCTCCCCATACGGGAAACACATGTTCCACAGTGTCTGCAATAGTTGCAAGCTAGAAAGAACATACAGACACAGAAAGAAAGAATTGTATTTGCTTCTTCATGTATTTGCAACATCTTCAATATCCTTTGATGAATCCTACCTGAGTCTGGTTGAATTCTTTGACCCCTACACAGTAAACAATGGCTCCCATAGACCTGGCCCGTTGTGCCTGCAAAAACAACAATTATCAGCATTCATCTGTTTATAAGGAATCTAATGAGAACTTTAAAAATAGTCGAGATTAATGAGCTTTATCAAATAGGAATATCACATAGAGCATCAATAAAACAGAACAGCAATAACAATAACAGACAAACAAGAATAGACATAGAGTGTAGCAAACAAAAAGCTGCTTAATACATTCATACATACATGCAACCTAAATTAACAAGGCCTACCCAAGCCGCAACAATTGCAAACCTAAAATACTTTTACAGCAAGTGTTCACAATATTTTATCTTCCCCCTCTCAAATCCCTCTACTTGATAACACATCTTACCTCTTGCTGAGCTGTGTCAAACTGCTTATCATTCAGTTCTCCATCTGTCAGAGCGATGATAACGCTGGCCGTCCCTGCAGAACACCACAAAACTTTAATGCCCCCTGAAACAATGCACTAAATGTAGGCTAATGTAATGAACATATGAGACAGAGCTTACCGTGTTTCTCTTGATATATCTGCGCATTGGCCTGCAATTGCAAAGAAGCCTTTTGTTCAGTGTGGGACAGGTTTCATTTCAAGTAAACTACTGAAGATTGTTGCTCTTTTACTAGGACATCAACATGAACCCTTCCTACACCTGATTGGGTGAAAGACCAGTGACAGGAAGTCATTCATGATCTGAGCCACACCTCGTACTTATCTAATTGGCCCTTGTTTTAGCTGCCAGGCTCAATCAATCCTCAGTGAATATTTTCCAGACTTAAAATCTTACAGTGCGATGGGTCCTCAGCCTCATCCTTACCATCTCCAGGCCTAAGTTCATACGTGTGTCTCCTCCAGGGATAACTCTTTTCAGAACTGTTAAGCCTCCAGTGATGGCCTCCCTGTAGGGTAAACAGACAAACAGCCAGATAAAATACGCTGGAAGAAAACTGCTCTCAGGGGAAAACATGGAGAAATATTCCCATTACAGTAGAGAGAGAAGGAGAGCAGTAGAGAGTAATTGTGTGGCTCAAATAGTGTCCAAGGTTAACCCTCAGCCAAAGTCTTTCCTCAGAAGTCTGAATGCACTGCTTTGTATTAGTAAATTCCCTAAAACTGGATGAAATTAGTATGCAATTGAGGAAATCTGTTCACAAAATCTCAGTTTCCAGAGGTTTGGAAAACCAAAGATAAACACAAGAGAAGACATGTCTAGTGTAGTGTAGTGCCACTTAGAGGGAAAGATCCAGACAGAATAACAGTCCAGGTGTTGTTCAACTGCAGCCCTTACCTGTTCTCAGTCAGTTTCATGATGATGGTTCCTCGTTCGGAGAAGACAATGAAGGACATTCGCAGCATGGGGCTGCAAACACACAGTCAATTTATGTTAACATAAACAATAACCGAAAACATCCAAATTCTTGATTGACTGAACTGCTTTTACCTGATAAACTTCTCTGCCAGCTGCTCCACAAAGGAGTAAATCTCTATCCAGTGATTCTTCACACTTCCAGATCTGAGAAACAACAAGAACACAACCTTATAAGGTAAAAATGTGAGGTGGAAGACTAATTATCATCAGCCACAGCCAATACAATTTTATTGAATAAATGCAGTATTACAGAGAAACAAAGCCAACTCTCCTAGCAGGTTTGGGCTCATTCAAACAAAAATAAAATGCTTTTTTTGTCTGATAATTTAAAATAAAAGCAGGCTGTGTGAAACTATGGTAGTTATTATCCACACTAGTGATGTAGCTCTAGAGATGACATGGTCTGTTAGGCGGCCGGTCCACCACTTTGGTCAAAATATCTAAAAAACCTTTGGATGGATCACCGTGAAATTTTGTCCAGAAATTCATCCCCAGAGGATGAAGCCTACAGACTCTGGAGTCCTCTGGCTTTTTCATCTAGTTCCAGCATGAACTCGACTTTTGTGGTTTCGAGTGAAATGTCTCCGCAACTGTTGGATGATTGCCATGGAATTTGGTACAGACATCCCAGAGGATGATCTGAAATAACTTTGAGGATCCTTAAATATTTCATCTAGTGCAAGGAAAGGAAATCTGTGGCTCCGGAGCATACGGCTCTTTAGGCCCTCTCCAGTGGCTTCAACAAAACAATATATGGAAATGAATAACGGTGATCTTTACATTCTCCAATTGTAAAAATGTGTAGCCATGCACAACAAATAATTCCATAGCTAGTCTACCAACACTGCGGCTAAAATATGTTTGAGATAGTGGACATGAAAAACCGAATGCCATGCTGAACATCGACATGTTAGGAAATGTCTATATCAGAATGCTAATGTTAGTATTTAGCTTAAAGCACTGCTGTGCCCCTCATTTAGCTGCTAGCATAGACTCTTGTTTATGTTAAAGTGAGTAAAACCTCATCTATACCTTCATAAAATGATTCAACTGCATTAGCTTCAGAAAAGTCAAGCAATGTCATTAATAATTTAAAATACAAACCAATCATTGTTTTGTATGATTTGATTTGGATTGCAATGAAATTAGGTACATCCATGTTCTCCACAGGATTAACTCTAATAACCTTTCATCACCAGCTCAAAATTTTGATTTTTCCAAATATTCTGGTTTATGACCAAGATCTAAACATCAGCCTATAGTTATATAATAGTGAGTGTGTTAGCATGCTGATGTTAAAAGCACTGTCGTGTGTAAGCCTCAGAGCTGCAACTATGGCTGCAGACTCTTGTTTACACTGAAGTAAACAAACAAAAACAGATGAACACAGCTGTTCAACGAAAACGTATAAAAACACGAATCCAAATCTGAATAATACGGACTTTACTTTCCGTAGGATGTGATTCAAAGTTAGTGTAGGTTTTGTAGGATGTGCAGACACCGGATTTATTGGTCATGAGATGTGTTTAAGGAACAACAGTAACAGTTTATCTCCTCCACATTCCTCCGGCCACTCAGTCACATTCCATTACTTTGGACAGTAACCTGTCAGCGGTGAGAGCTGCTGGTTAGCCTGCTACATGCTGCTGTGACTATGACTCCTTAATGAAGCCCAGTCCCAGGGGGCTGCTAATGGGGGCTAATTGCTGCTGGGCCAGAGGGTTGAGGTTAGACAGGGACAGATGTAACAGTCTGCCTCTAGCAGGGACCATGTAGCAGGCAGCTGGCCTGTGTGTCTGTGTTTATGTGTAGTATCTGTGTTTGTGTGAGCGTGCATGTGTGTGTGTGTGTGTGTGTGAGGGGGAACAGATGGTCCCAGTGAGCACAGCAAGTCTAACAACAGGTTGGGGGTCCGCAGAGTGAAAAGGCTGTGACATGAACAACAGCGGGACGAAGAAGTAACACTCGGCAGGGGGTAAATGTGAGTGTGAGTGTCTGTTGAAGGATGCAACATCAAACAGCTTACACCAAATTCAGCAAGGCTGCGTGTGTGTGTGTGTAACAGGGTCATAAACAGAGCAAAAGTGTGAGCTGGTTAGACTCACGATGGCTCACGATGGCTCCTTTGTACGTCTTGCTTCCTACCAGTTGCTTCCTGCTTCACTTTATCCTTTTCACTGGAAGTGAGGCCGTGATAAAAGGCCTCATCCTGGAGGAGTCTCCTCAGGGAACATGTTTCCCACTTTGATGAAAAAATCTTAATATCTTAATCTTAAGAGTTTGTCTTAAAACACTGCTGAATTCAAAAATCAAAATCAGTGAAGCAAAGTGATCCAACACCAGATAAACATTATATTGTATTCCATGTGTATATTATGAGTCTTTTTATTTGTGCACATATTAATAGTTAATCAACTGATTGACGATTGGAAAAAGTCAATAATCAAGCTTCTCAAATGATGATGAAGATTTTATGTTTTTCTTTTCTTTGTTTTTATATGATTGAATACATTTTGGCTTTGGACTTTTTGTGTAAAACAGGATATTTAGAGACATTTCCTTGGGTTCTGGGCATTGTTCATTATTTCCTGACTAAATTCAGCTCATGTACTGAACACACACCGTATCTTTACAACATTCACTGGAAGGCTACAGATCTAAATTGCTGCCATCACCCAACCAATTCAGCCATTAGTCTTCACCGTTCTACCTCTTAAGTTTGCATAGTATCAGGGTAGAATCTCCTTTTGTCTGCAAGTATTTGGATCAGTGAAAAGAAAGCCTCTGTTCAGAACCCAGCAACACCTATTATTCTATTTGTGGGCAACCAGATAGGGAGGAAAAACAGCAGCCTGGTATTTGGTGTGGGTCAGACGTGGAGTGTAGGAATGCGCCGAGCTGATGCCGCTTTAGTTTTTCTGATGTTCATTCTGTGTGCTGAGATGCGTCCACACACACACATTCTCCACTCAGCACGTCCTATAACCTTCTGGATAGTGAAGCCAAAACCAAACATGAATACAGCAAATAGCGGAAACCAGTGTAGACACGTAAAAGCATCCCTAATGTGCGATTTTATGCTCAGATCTCTGTCACTGAAGTATCAGATTAGGTCACTGTGTGGCATTTAAGATCAGATAAACAGCCAACAAGTTGGTGCCATCTCGGGGAGGGAGGGGGGAAAAGAGCAGAGGCTTCCTAAAGGCTTGCTGAAGCATGCAGGTCCAGACAGTCAAACAAACAGAGGCGTACCAGAGGCTTGGCCATGCGTGACGTGCCATGCTCCCCAGGCTCCTCCTAAACTTTTTGAAGCAAAAGGGTAAAGACTGAAGAGCGGCTGACAGATGTTGCCGTGGACATCCAAAAGATCATGAAACATGCTGAAAGTAAAATGTCAACTCAATGTGTCCACCTCACAGCTCGTAGGTGGTGCATGCAGGGCAGCTGAGGACATACGGCGAGCTTTTTTAAACCATTACCTCACCGTGTTCCCAAATGTTATACACAGATACCGCAGTGTTTAACTGCTTCACCGCACCACTGCACTCAGTCACTCTTTTCAAAACATAATCTATTCTTCTGACATTATAATCAATAGGGCCACAGATTCAACCATGCCTCATGTTTTTTTTTTGTCATTCTATCTCCTGCCCTCCCTCCCTGCTCACTCAGCGTGTTTTGACATGTCTGATTGTTCTGTGTCCACATGCTTAATTTTACCTTGCAACTCGAGCCAAGATACAGCAAAAATGTCAATTATAATGTCTGAGTTGTTATGAACAGCAGCGCAGTCTGGGACCGCAGAGGGATCACACGTGGAGAATTACTGGGATAGTCTGGCTTATGCAGCCCCAAAAAGGTGGCGAAAACACCCTCACTGACCATGCAGCCTGAAAAATCTCACCATTATGAGATTTAAGTATGTTTGTCGGGGCTGTGGTGGACGAATGTGCATTCCTCTCGGCTTACAAAGGATGGCACCCAAAGTCTACTGAGTTTCAGACATAAAGATATTCAAAGACTGATCTGGGGTAAGTTCTGAGAGTTGGTTTTAAGGTTAGAATCAGGGTCATGGGCGTCTTGGTGGCCTGGAGGTCTAAGAGCCACAAGTAACGGAGACGTCTTTGATTCAAATCAGGCTGTGGGACCTTTGTTTGTCGCCCTCGCTCTCTCATGCCTCATTTCCTGTCAACCCTCTACTGACTCCCATCAAATGAAGACAAACATGGCCAAGAAATACTGGAAGAAAGAAATTGGGTCATTTTCAGAAGATCAAAGCTTGGGCTGCATTTCTAAAGATGTAGAAATACCACTTTTATATACAGCACAGCTTGTAACACATACTTTCAAAAGGGGGTTTAGGTAAGTGTAGGTAAGTGATTGGCATCCTGGTGAATTACAGAACATGTTAAAAGGCAAAGCAAGTTAAGCTAGATACAAGGAATTTTTTATAACTTGGCAACCCAAATACAAATGGCTTATTTCTGATCTTTGTAGCATTAATAAACTTGTAACCCCCTCATAAAATATGCCTCAAAATGTTTTTTTGTCCCATAAAAAAAATCTACCTAATCAGATTTAGTGTTAAGAAATTCCTCCATGGAGAAAAACAATAAAGAATGGCCCCTGCTCTTTTAGCCTCTACATGGCCGGTCCAAGACACAATCGGCTCACAGTGGATAGAGAACAGAATCGTTTACAGGGATCACCCGGGCCACAGAGCACCGCTGTGGGGCAGCTGCTGCAGCTGTGTCCGCAGGCGTCATCAGCCTGAAACTCTATCCATCCTGCTCACCCTGCCCACATCCCGTGGGTAAAAGCTCATTATGTTTGCCTCTCCACTTTGAACCGGACGAAAAAAAAGCATGTCCCATTGTCCAAAAATATTCATCCATACTTCAAATAAAAAGTGCTATGCCTGCGCGAGAAGACACCAAAGAGATAAACAATGAGGGTTCAAATGTTGTTGTTTTTTGGAGATGTTCTCAGTCTAGTTATTCAGCTGAACAAGAAACCTTATTTAGGACTGGTGTTGTGATACAAAAAGCAAATTGATAAAGGCTGACCTTCCACATTTACAATCTCAAACTTGGAGGTTAGTTTTGTGTAGCACCGTTACAACAACAGAAACGTGGTAGACTGAATCTGACTGATGCGCTCCGCGTTTCCAAACAACTGGGCGGTTGCATGGCAATGCGCAGCGATGAGAAAGTAACAAAGCCATAAATAATATCGGACACTCACTTGTCCAGGACAAAATAGAGGTCGAAGGCGCCCTGACAGGACCTCTCCTCCTCCTCCTCCTGTTGCTCTCCCTGCAGCTCTCCTTTCACCAAGACATCGATGAAGAAAATTCCCAGCAAAGCCAAGGCGAGGAACATGCAAGTCTGTGTCCTCGCCATCTTTCCCGGTTACTGTTGACTACTCCAACACCGTGACAACTAAAAGATGTTCACATTTTCTCTCTGTTGTCTGTTTCTGGATAGGCTGTGTGCGTGTAACGCGTTGTTTTCTCGGTGTTTTGTCCTGTTGAGGTTGGGCTGGGTGCATTCAGCCTGCAGGAGGAGTGTCGTTCAGTTTTAAAAGCCCGGCTCTCCAAGTCTTCTCTTTCAGCTGAGAGAAAAAAAAAATGCAGTGAAGCAGGTCAGGATGGAGGAGAGGAGCGACACCCGAGGAGAGATACAAAACTCCACTTTTACACAGGGAAAAAAAGCCCCCATGAAAAGTAGTGAGCAGTTATAGGGTGGGATAATATTACCCCAAATAACAACGGACTGTTCGAGAATGAGAATAAGTCTGCCTTGTTTTTAATTTGTTTTGAAACATCAGAAATCATGTGTAATACATTTGATTGATTAAAATTACAATCAATGTTTTTCCTCAATATTATTTTTGCTTTATAGTTAATAAAGATGATTTAGAATTTGCTAAATAAAAGAAACAGGTCGGTTCTGTGTGGTAAATACATCATTTTATAACTTGCTTTGATAGATAAATAATCAGTTCATTTTTTGTGCCTCATAATTGGTGTTTTTTAGAGAAAGTCCCGATCATTCACAGCCTCTGGCCTCTCGCCTTCAAAAAGACAACAAAGACAAGAGTAATTCAATTATGGGCCTGAATGCAAATCGACCCATGAAAGGATGTGATGCTCAAAGTGTTCCTCGGTTTGCCGTCCAACTTCCCAACACAACGTAATGTAATACGCTACTAAAATGAGGAGGAAATGTTATCTAATAGAAGATAAAATATTTTTCAGCCTATAGTGTAATTGCACTTTACGCAAACAGTCGGAGTGCGCCCGAGGAGTCCCGAGCGAGGCTTTTTTTTTTATGTGTTCCCGCTTTCTCCTTATAGAAAGTTGGCTCGATAACCACCAGGACATTTACCCAAACCAAAGCTTTGATGCAGAATAATCCATTAAATGCTCATTAGACAGAAACATTTAGTTGATGAATAATGCATTTGCCCGGTGGCGAACCCAGACCACCCTGCATCATATCATGTAATAGAGGCCAATTTTCTAATTTCCAGTTGCCCACATTTGCCAGGACAATTTCCACTCGTGTAAGTCTCGTGTAGCTGGACTCATTGTTTCCAGAAACGTGACCAAAAACTGTCTCTGAATCCCACATAGCGTGTATATAGCTGTTGTGTGTATCAGTTTAATAAAGTATAATTAGAGGAGGGACTTTTTATTTAAAACCATGACAGACAATAAGACAACAACAGCCCCATGCACATTCTAATGACTTTTTATCGGACTAATTGCAGGCTGGCAAAGGGCTGTGTGAGGTCTTGTTCCGCAGGTTGTGATCCTCTAAACTCAGTTGGGAAATGTGGTCGTACTGAATCAAATTGTAAAACGTTTCATATTGTCTAAAAGGAGAAAATGCTGCTCTTGTTCATATGTGGTGCATGTCCACATCAGTCAGCTTAACCCTAAACTGTATTAAATGAACAACCATATTATAAAGACCCCATAATGCGCATCATTGGCCAAATTATCACTGTCTCATATCTCTCTTCCTCACTGAAAGGACTGTAAACCAGACAAGGGAGAATTAGCCCAGGGACTAAATTCAAAGCGTGTGTGCACGCGTGTGTGAGTGCGTGAGCGCGCACGTGTTTACATCAATGCGCCACGCTTCAGTGCGCTCTCTGAAGGGGATAAGTGGGAGTGGGAGAGGAGAGAGACAACAGTACGGAGGGAAGATTCAGGCGGATAAGTAACTCGTCACCAAGAAACGAGAGGGCATCTTTAACGAGGTCCACTGCACCTGCTGCAACTTGCTGCCACACGGCACAGACATCCTCCTCGATGTCCGGCGGGTGAGTCCACACGCAGCACGATTCATCCACTTGTCTGTTATCTATCACAGGGACACACGATTCTCAAATGTCATTTTACTTGGAAGAATGGCATATTCTGATCCAGCACCAGATCATTCTGTTGCGATGCTGATAACATTTTTTTTAAAGATAAAACCCTCAAGATGCGATACTTTTTATTGACCACGGGGGGAAAAAAATCAGTGGTCACGTAATCTTTGCGCGTTAACATGGTTCATAAATTAGGAGGAAAAAAAACCACACGGAACTTATCCTGCGCACAGAGAGGAGGCAGTTGGGCTTCACGGCAGATGGGGAGACAAAAGGAGAAACCGACTGAAAAACTGAGACAAAGGACGTTAGAAATCATTTTGCCTCGACACCGGCTGCGCCTGCCTCACAGTTAGGACGCGTAATTTTAGCAGAAGAATTACTAATTAAAATTTCTGTTGTATCAATTATTTTTTTGTCAATATTGCATGGAAGTCAATTCAGGGTGAGTTTAGAGCATCTGAATCCAAATCGCCTTACGGCATGTCAGACCACCAAAACATATATTTTATTTTATATAGGCCCAATTGTTCGCTCCATATTCTGTTTGACTAAAAAATAATCATTTACTATGTGCATTAGTTATTACTGTTCTCGTGATATTAGTCTGATTCTACTAAATATTAAGTCAGACGTCTTGATTTGATCCTTTATAATGGAATAAAACTCCATTAACAACCTCTATTGTTTACATGCTTTGTAACTAACTATAACCGTTTTATTTTATTACAGTTTAATGATGGATCACACTTTCCTGCCTCGATCCATTTGGGCCGGTGACAGTAAATTCCTCCAGCATCCAGCGGATCTCTACACCAGTGTGGTCGTTACGCGCAGCATCCCTGCAGGCACGTGCTTTGGTCCATGTGTGCTCCAAAACACTTTTTACGACACCATCGCCTTCATAGCGCAGAAATCCTGCGACAAGAGAGCTAAACCCTATGTGTTCAGGGTGAGTTGAACAATTTTGTGTTCATTTTTCATGAAGCATGGACATTTATCATCTCTAAACAGCTTTTCTTCAGTTAATTAGTCAACTCGATGTGGGCCATGCCTGGTGATTTCATGAACAGTGTGTAGGAGACTGGATTTATTTGTTTGTATTTTAATTTTGATTGAATTTACACATGATATTTATTTTATGTGACTATATTTTTAGCATTATTGTTTGTCACGAAGCTGCTGTCTTGGGTATTTTATCCAAAAAAACTAACATTTAAACACCTGGATTAAATAATTTAAACTACTAAAAGTGCCATCTGCAACATTTAACCATTTTTTAGGAATTCCAAGCTTGTAGACAGAAATTCAAATATGATAATTTGGGAGTATAATGTAAATTATTCCTGTCAACAGGTGGACCCCGAGGCCATGCGTAATTCTGCACTGGTGCTGTCCTGGCTGCGGCTCGTGCAGGCTGCGCGTAATGGAGAGGAACAGAACACGGAGGCCTTCCTGAAAGCTGGTCAGCTGTATGTGCGGACCATCCGGGACATCCGGCAGGAGGAAGAGCTGCTGGTTTGGTACGACCAAGAGCTGTCTCACCTACTGGGCTTCACAGACATGACCAGGGGATCAAGTGAAGGTGAGGCGGATTCTCTGTAATGCGAGTGCAAGATCAGAATTCTGCTAAACATTGTTTTTTGTTATATTTTTGAATTTTTGAATTCAAATTACATTGTATTTCACTCCAAAATACACGTGCACATGTTAAATATGCATGTATCTGTATAGTCACACCGTGTGTATTTGTCTCTTTCAGAGTTCAGATGTGGAAGATGTAACCAGGTCTTTAAGAATGAGTATCCGTTCCTGGCTCATTGCCGATTCCTGTGTACTCAAGTTAAGAGTGACACCTGGGGCCGCGAGGTTTACGAGCACAAGCATGTGGAAATAAAGAGGCAACATCGAGTGACAGATTTCCACAACATCGCCAGAGATTTGGAACACAAAAAATCTGGCAGCAACGAGGACGCGGAGATTTACCCCAAGAGAAGGAAATACGAGGAAACTCTTTATCCTAAAGGGCGGAAGACGGTTCTGTTGGAGAAAACGAATATTTCAAATGATGACAATATTACGCAGCTGAGTAAGGGCTACGACCAGGCAGCAGGGGATGCATCTTCTTCTGCGGGGAAACTCAAAGTTGACAAGGTCAAACTGGATCATTTGGGATGTAAGAATGATGCTTTTGCTGAAGCGGGGGAGGCCAAAGGGACTTTTACGCACGGCAGAGGGGTGGACGCACGGTCAGAGGCAGGTGAGAGCTCTGGTGTGCATTCGGGCAGCACCAGTGCGTTTTCTCTGGTCCTGTCCAGCAGTCACGGCGAGCAGAAAAGCGCTTTCTGTAAACCGAGTAAAAGGACTTCTCCTATTAACCCTCAGGCGCATCTCAGCAGCGCTTCAACAGCCCCCTCTAGCCGCCTCGAGGAGATGACTGACGCCTTCACCCCCAGGACTGTTATGGGATACAACAATCTGATGACATCCAACATCCTGAGCGGTGACTTACAGACTCTACCCTCCCCGGTTGCTTTAAACAATGCCTTCCATTACGCACCGGAGCACTGGTCCAGGAACATTGGCGTTCAGTTGCAGACCACATCCTCTCTTACGATCCTTCCGCCGACTTTCACCTCATTCGGCGTGTCGGTGCAGAACTGGTGCGCCAAGTGCAACCTGTCCTTCCGCATGACCTCCGACCTCGTATTCCACATGCGCTCTCACCACAAGAAGGAGTTCGCCGCGGAGTCTCAGGTGAGGAGGAGGAGGGAGGAGAAACTCACCTGCCCTATCTGCCACGAATACTTCCGAGAGCGGCACCACCTGTCCAGACACATGACGTCTCATAACTGAGACAAAAAGGGACAAAAAAAACAACTTTATTTATTTCCTTAATGATGCTCGTATTTAACAAGTTTAGACTCCAGATTCACGAGACTTTGGCGTGTAACAGTGAATGTAGGTAGCTGTAAAGAAACTAGGACACACATGGCCACCTCAGCCTGTCCACTAGGTGACGATAGAGGTACGTGTAAGCTGATCTCACTGCAGTTTGTTGTCTGTTCTTTAGTCCTGTATGTTAGGTTGATGATTATTTTGTGCCTTATGGAACTCAGGAGGGGAAGAAAGACGGAGAGATCTCGAGGACAGCTCATGATTGTCATAAATATCTCGACGCAGTCTTCTTTATTTATCAGCTTTTTGTTCTGCTCTGATTTGTACAAGAGGTGTGGATTGAGTGTGTTTGCACATTCGTTTTAAAATCTGAAATTGTGAGAATGAAACAGACGTGTTGAGTATTTTCTTTTGATGGTTCAAATTAGAGAGGGTGTCAGTTTTTGCCTGCTCCAACAGGCGGCAACTGACACTACCCTTTCTCCCCAATATGAAGAATATCTACCAGATATGTTTGCTTTTTGATAAGACTGTCCTGAATGATACCAGCATTGTGCAATTTATAGAAAAAAGAATAGTGCATGATCCAATGGGTGGGGGAAAAAGGTTTATTCTCACTCTGCACTTGCCAGAGAAGTCAAGAGAGGAAAAAAATGTTAAAAAAGATGCATCAGTACAATATCTGCATGTCATTTGATATGTTTCACCCGACGTTTCAGCATGATATTTGAGAAGAAAATGAGCTGAAACAATAACAGGCTGATTTCCATGCTGCCACTCAAAAGTGACATTTAAATAGTTTCATTGTTATCATTATACAGACCTGGATGGAGTCCACATAAGCCCACTGCTTTGAATTTGTGATTTTATGTTTCTCCACCAATACTACGTCCCATTCAGGTCAGGCTGCCGACAGATGGACATAAATAGCCGTCTCTGTTTCAGGTAAATGAGGCGGGAAGAAGGCATGAAGTTCATGGGAAAGTCAAGTCTGGACCCAGTTCAGTCGCTCTGTAACGTAAGCGGGGATGTAAACCCGCCCTCACTGCTGTTATCTACTTTTATTTGAGTTGCAGAGTTTATCCTCCCAGTCTCTATGCGCCGCAGACTCATTAGACAATCACAAGGTGACTTCAGGGACTTCATTAATACTTTTCTGGAAGTCTTTCATGGATGTTTTGCTTGTGATGATGATCAGTTGGAGATCATTACTCATATGTTTTACTACTGGTACTGAAACCTACACAATACATTAAACCTGCACCCAAAACACTACAAAAATGTACTACTAACACACTGCAACATGTTCATAATCCTTCATTGAGTTTTAGACCCTCATTTATCTTTAGGCAGCCTGAATATTTTTTTGTTTCTAGACTAAAATGGACTACTTGGCTGAATAAAAGTTATAAAAGGTATTTGGGAACTGGTTTAAAGTATATTTTGTTTCACTTTCCAAAGGAAAAATGTGATTTTTAAATAAAATACCCAGTGGCCCACATGATTAAATGGGTGATTAAGAAGCACAGTGTCACTCTATTAAAGCCGGATCCTAATGAACAGAACTATTAGTTCTCTGAGCTCAGTAACCATGTGAGGAAAGAGCCATTTCAGCCCAGACACAGAAAATCCTCTGTTGTCTAATAATGGCTGTATTGCTCTCCTTTAATTGAACAGTCATCATTATGGAAAAACAAATATTGTTCTTGGTTCCCCACTTGGCTCGTTTCGGTTTTGGCTTTTAGGCGCTGGGCTCTGAACACAAGCCTAGACTACTGTGGTTTTCTCGGCTGGAATTGACCATTGTAAGTACTCTCCTGTGACTGTGATTGCGGTTGACATGGGGTTCACTTTGTAATAGCAGAATGTGGGTCCGGACTCTACAAGGGATCAGTCAGGAAATGAGGAAAAAAAAAAGAGCCTGGATGTGTTCACTACAATTGGGCCAGCCTACTTTGAACCTAAAACATCTATTAATGTAAACATGATTTATAATAACCATAATTACTGCCGTCATCATAATTCAAATAGAGGTTGGAGTCCATAAAGCTTTCGTAACAAAAAGGTTTGTAGTTGCTTAACATTTCCACTTGTTCAAAATGGAGAAAACTGAATCATGCATTTGGAATTTCAGACATTAATCTCTCCCCTTATCTGTCTCTATCTCCGTCATCCTCAAATATGGATTAAAGATAATCTCTTTAGGGTTGTGATACTGCTTATCATCTCACATCATCACATGTCACAGTAAAACAGCAGCACACGTTGTCAGTGAATAGCCAGCAGCAGGCCACTCATGTTTCTCTTCAACAAAACCATTATCAAGCTAAAATAATAAGTTTTCTTTTTATATATCTACTTACTGGTTTGATATACAAAGTATTCACCTTCCTTGGAAGTTTTCATTTTTTATTTTCTTACAAAATCGAATTAAAGGGGATTTAACATGGCTTTTTTGACATTGACTAAATTAATTACAAATATAAAATACATGTAGGAAAAAAACAATAAAACAAAACAATTAGTCACTTAAAGGGCAAAATTTTGTTGAGTCAATTCCATACTAGACATATTACATAATTCATTGCTGTATGACAATAAAACTTGCCAATTTCCAAAGACGGTCACTTCTTCTTATAATCTATGTATACCTATTTGCTTTTAGTGTTGATAACAGGTGACTGACTGTTCATTTTTCTAAAGTCAAAAAACTTTACATCATTATTCTAAGCTGCAACAAAGTATGAGGGCTCAATCTTTTGTTCCATCCCCCAAGTGGTTACTGAATGTTTCTGTTTTGAGACAAAATTACTGTCCAGTCAAACTTCAGAGCATTCTGTTGTTGCAAACAGATGTGGTACTCTGTGCCAGTTTTTTTTTTTAGGCTCAAGGCAAAAACAGCCACAGAGTAATGGGTTAATAATCAAAGGTTCCCTCTGTCAGTTCACTGTCAGTTTGACACACAGTTTATGCACCACATGAGTCACCTTCTTCCTCCTGTGAATAAAAGCAACAAGCAGTTGAGTTAAAGTGGTTGAGATCTTCCGTCTGTAACCATCTGAGAGAAACGGCTATTGAGGAGAACATCCTGACTTGGAAATGTTCTGCTTTTGAATCGAGGGGCAGAAAAGGGGAAGTGCACCACGTTTTGAAGTTCAAGTGGCTGACGTCCTAATAGGCGCATGGCGGCTTCCTCCATCAACCATTAACCCACTGCAACTGCATCAGTCACATTATTTGCTGGACAACAGACGCCTGAGCCTTTGGTGTGGGGTAATAATGGGTTCAAGGGGCTTTAGGGGAATGTTGGCTATCTTTGAGTGGAACCTTCCTGCTTTTGTAAGTTCTTTTGGAAGAGTTGTGCCCTTTTATGTTTGTTTTGACAAAAAAGTTCCCCCCAAGACTCAAATGTTATACGCAGTAATGACCAAGAATAACACAAAGTGTATGAAACAATAATATTCCAGCAAGAGCATTGGATTAAATTACTTTTTTTTATTCTAACTTATAGAAGGCTACCTTTTCATAATTTAAACAATACACATGTACAAAACAGCATCTCATCTAAAATATAGTAATACATAACCTAGTAACCATGACAAATTATTTTTAACCAAGTTTCACATTCAAAATAGAAAAATATTTCTGGTTTCAATATAACATTCTTGAAGTGTTATGAGGGGGTTGGTGGGTGTAAATGAATTCCAGATGCTCTCTACAATCCATTGGATATTTCTTTTTTAAGATATACGGAGCAAGAATGTACAATAACCCTCCTGTCTTGCAAACAAATTAACATTGCATGTATGTACAATGCAGTGTGTGATTAGCTTAAAAGTAAGAACAGCTGTAGACAGAGTGTAAAACTGTAGAAATATGTTTCGTAATCTCTGTCATCTGTATGTGACTGTGTAAGCTGCCCGATGACACAATGATAAAGTCTTTTATTTCTAGCCTTTGTGTCCAAAGAAAACATGAACACAAACTCACGGTGAGCTCTTTGAAAAACAAGTTGATTCTGAGATAAAAAAAGGAATACATCCCTTAAATGCTCCTGTCCATGAAATCCTCAACATTATCTCAAACACAGAATCAAAACAAGTGGGCTTCTTGGACATGTGGAGCCCTGACTTTACACGTGTGACTCTGTTCCTCTTGCTAAGGCAGACGCCAGACAATGTGTCTCTTCAAGTCTGCTGCCGCAGGACAGAAGAGATGGAAGTGATTTCTCTACAGCCTATGTTCTTCAAGGAATAACGACGGCCAAAGTGACTTTCTTTCTCAGTATCAAGAAACCACTTAATAAACAGAGGTATGGTTCTGTCTCCATTAGTCCCGTTTTCTGTTTCTCTCCACATCCTCCCTGTTTTGTCCTCTGCCCCCATTGTCCTCCCCTCCCTATCTGCAGGAGCAGGACTGGACGGACATATTGGGGTAAACCTTGAGCACTGGGTTCCTGGATTCATCCTGGTAAAGCACAGCCAGGGGACTCATCTTTTCTGGGACACAGCAGGGCTCAGGAACTCCAGGGATGATCCCGACTGCTCGGACTATGCTCTGGATGGTGGCGTGATTAGACGGCCTCGCCACCTGGGAGAGTTTGAATAGAGAATAAAATATATAAAAGGGAGAAGAACGACATGTTATAGTTACTAAATATAACTAGATAATGCAATTTTGGAAACAAATGAGATTAAATAGAATGACTTAGATGTTTGTGCTCCTACCTTGGACATGGGAAAGCCACACGTGCCAGCGCAGTAGTAGGCATCGAAGGCCTTGGGTGCTATTACCCACTCGCTCCAGCCAATGTCTGCAAAATCCACTCTGAGGTTCCTCCTGGAGCAGCCTCTGTGCTGGTTGTTGCCCCACTGCCTCCTCCTAGCCTTACGCATGGTTTGTTCATCAAAACTCAGAACAGGTGACTGAGAGTTTGCGCCCCCTTTGTGCTTTCTTCCATCCTTTCCCTCATTTCTCCTCTCGTGCTTTCGTCCGTCGCCGATCGTCAACATGTGACTGTCTTTGAGTTTTTTCACAGTTGAGTCATCAGGTTTGAGCCCCTGTGATGTTCCTTCTTCTGTGAGAACCTGAGGTTCTTCTTTATCGTTTGCTCCCCTACCTTGCTTCACTCCTTCTTCCTCCTGGCTCTTTCTCTTCTTTTCCTTCTTTCCGGATTTAGGCTTGGGTTTGAGTGCCAGGTACCAAGTGCTCTCCCAAATGTCCTCCTTCCTGTATCCATCAGGCCTGAAGTCAACCTCGGGCAGTTCATTGTTCTGAATGGGGTCAGAGAGCGGAGGTGCTTCCCTTCTCACGCGTCCTTTCGACTCTGGTGAGGAGTTCGGTCTGTGCAGGAGCTGAGAGGACTGAGAGGAATGTGAGGGCTCCCCTCCCTCACTGAACGGGTCATATCTCTGAAGGCTTGCAGCCACACTGTTAGGCTCTGCCAAGGCTTGGTCATTAGCATACAGTAACAGGTAGGGCAGGCTGCCAGCAGACAGCGCCTCTTCTGGTTTCCTCGGGTACTGCTGACCTAAGTCCAACTCCACTAACACCAGGAGATGACCCTTGTCCCGTGCCTCCTTTATGACCTGGGTCACATCTTTCATCTGCCACACCCCTCTCCTGTGGGGGTGGAAGGTCACATTGCCTAGAAATGACCCCATTGACCCAGATCTGACCTCTGACCCAGAGGAGACAGCGCGAAGGAGCAGGCTGATGGACGGAGATGGGTGGATGGCTGAGGAACGGCAGGATGGGCTTTTGAAGCGTTTACAGAACCAGGGTTTGTGATGAGGGGGCCGATCGAGCAGGAAATGGAATGTGGCAGAGAGGATGACCTCTGAGTCCTGGAGGGTTGTAAGGTTTAGTCGGTACACCGTCCTGTGGTCAGAAGAGTCTGCAAAGACAATCAATCAGTGTCAGACAGTCAAGTGAACAACATGACATTTTTTAATCCACAGAATGATGTTTGTGAAACCAAATTTTATTCCACAGCATTTACCACTGATCCTTGACATAAAAGATGAATGCACACTGAAACAATTTGACAGTTTTGTGGCTCACAGGTCCTTCTATGTTCTTGTTTTGAACAAGGATAGAGTATCCTAAATTAGTTTTATATTTTGATTGTTTTTGACAGGTCCATGCAAATGGGAAATGTTAATGGGCTGAAATGTTTGGCATAATTAGATGATGAAAGTGTTTGCCGGTGTAAAGCAACTGCTAACCAGGAATTATTTGCATTTACACCGCTGAACTTTGCCTATTATTTATCAGTCATTGTAGAAGAAGGAATGACTTAAAAAGGAACAATTTGATAATAAAGTCCTATAAGGGAGGAAGGAAAGCTACTAAATTGCACAAAAAGCACTCCTGCTGCGGTTAAAATCTTATGAAGTGGGAATATTAAACACCTTTGCTTGGTCTGTGTTACACGACTGAGCTGTGTAGCTGGTACACAACTGCACACTTGGTAGGATTGCAGAAGGTGCCCTTAAGAGGAACCAGACTCTGGGGATCTGACTGGCAGGGCTGGAGGGGGTGGTGAGCGGGGGGTGGAGAGCTACATATTCATGATGAACATTAACTTCAACAGCAGAGTTATTGTTCATTGTATAAGCGTTCAGCGGAAGTAGGAACTGACTCAAGAGATATACATTACCTCGGATTCAGCCTGCATATGGAAATGCTTACCTCAGTTTCTTTTAAAGCTTCCCCTAAAGCCTAATACAGCCAGCACTGTCTGCCCAGACATTAAGACATAATCAACTGTTTTAACAGATCTTATATTGTTGTGAAAAGTCTCTCACATCTCTCCTTAGATTACACTCTGCCTCTGCAGTAAAAATACACACGTGTTATGATATGCCATCTGAGAACTATGTGGGATATAAATGTCTATGAGTTGTGTTTATAAAAACAGCATCAGACAGGGAGGAACGACTGTGCTTTAAGCCCCCTTGACTCCAGGACGTGGAGTCACACATGTCCTGTAGCCACAACAGGCACCATGGAAGCCACGACAATGACCCCTTTTGCAGCGCGTAAGTGCCGCTGAGGTTTTACTGTACTGAAGCTGGGCATCGCTCGTAGGGAATTGCATGCATTCTTGCGCGTATTGCGCGTCTGTCTGCGGCACAGCTGCTGCCACAAACAGAGTGTGCCCACAGCGTCCCAAAATCATTTAAATGCATTCTCAGACTGTTCCAAAACAACCCTACCTATTTAGAGCGTCTGGTCGAACCATGCAGCCCCATGAGCGCTTGGACTTTTAATAACCATCCATGGAGAGGATCAGGGGAGCTTTCTGACTGCTCCTGAAGTTTATTTTTTGCTTTTTGCGTCGGACTACTGTTACACTAATGGATCACGAGGCTTTTTTTTTTTTTTTCCATAATGAAATCTAAATTGTTGCATTTGAGCGCCTTTGCAGGAGGCGATAACTATTGCTCGCTGTAGGCAGGTTAATCAACGTGTTCACACACCTTGGCTGGCTCTGAAACTCCTGACAGTGTTTCCCTCTCTGAGGCGGTTTTCCCTGTTGTATTTCTCGTACAGTTTGGACATGTGCTGCGAGACCATGTCTTGGTCCAGGTCATCAGAGAACGGGTCCGATGAGGGCTGGAGGAAGCTACGGTCCTGTGCGCTCCCAGAGCTCCCTTTCATGGTCCTAACTGACGCGGCACCCAGGAAACAGTTTAATATCAACAGGAACAGGTGCGAGGAAATCATACTTAAAGCTGCCATTTAAGTGCTGAAATGAACCCAAAATCCAATGCAGGAAAATGTTGTCCAAAAACGATCCAAGGTGGGCTTTAAAGACGCGCCAAAAGACTCCAGACTCAAGAGGCTGTGCGTAAATGTTCCACCTCTCCTCTCACTTTTCCGCTTCGTGCTCTGTGAGCCGTCTCACTCCTCTGTGTCAGACTGTGTGGGACGTGGATGCTGAACGGGTTAGTCCGGGCAACAGTTGGAGCTGCCACTTTTACACTTGCGTCTGTGTGACCGCCAGTGGCTCGAGGGGGTTATACTGGAGCGGCGAGAGGTGCTGACGTATATTCCTGTCAGCCAACGAGGTCTCTGCAGCAGAGCACACAGCCAGAAGTGGAGGTCATGATGCTGACCCCCCCTTTTCTCTCTTTGATGATGATGATGATGCTGATGATGATGATGATGATGTCTTCCTTATGTTGTTTTCCATCGGTGGAGTAATAACATTGATCCAGTGGCTTTGGCACATTGTTTCAGAGCAGCACTCATTTGTTTAGCACTGGTCAGACAAAACCACTGTTGAAACTCAACAAACTCTGCTTTTCTTTTTTTTTTTTTTTGCAGACAAAGTAATTCCACCTCACAATTTCCAGCTCACCACATTATTTCCAGTAACCGCATTTGACATGCTCTCAGTCACACATAATTAGCATAGAAACACCTACAATAATAGTCTGACCAACCACCCAAGGGCTATTGTTAGCGACAGTGATCCACATTTTGTACAGTGTGTTGTGTGTGTGCGTGTGTGTGTGTTTGTGTACATGTGAGAGAGAGTTTTCTAGTGAAAGGCTGTGGAGTTGCTGTCAGGTGAGACTCTTTCGAAGGACTTACTGTGATTTTATTCATGGCAAACAGAACAAGATCTCTGCTGGGATTGACGGTTTCAAACTCAGCAGAGTTTTGTCTCTTGTGTGTATGTATTTTTGTATGTGTGTGTGCAAGTGTGTGTGCACAGGAGTTGTTTCCAGTGTGTGTCTCTGGTGTCTGGAGCTCTGTACCAACAATGCTTGTTTTGTGGAAGTGGTGGTCTCCAGCAGAGAGGCTGTAACTAGCTGGGCCTCTCGGGTCACTCTCTGCTACTACACACACACACACGCACACACACACTCACACGCACATATGCATGCACGAGCACACATACAGGGCTATATAGTACATTTCTGGCCCCCAAGGGCCCCACAGGATACTCCTTTTCACTATGTTCCAGAGCAGCGACAGGTCTTAAATCTGGACTATTCTGGAGATGGTGTTTGGATGTGTGTGTGTGACAAAGGGATAGCGGAGGAGCATTATGAGGGAGTCGGCTGAAGTGGCGTGCTCTATGGTTTTGCACACAAACACATTCATGCTTTGACTTTTCCCATACCATGTCCTGAAAAACAAAATATGATTAATTGTTGTGGTTATTTGTTTGAATACATGCAATGCTGTTTTCCACTCGGTTAAGTGTTGTCTTTGTGAGAAATCCAGCAAGACTTTAGAGTGGCATTTGAGAATGACCACCCTCTGAAAGAAAAACCCCTGGATACACAAACAGATATTGAAAGATATACAGTTGTTTCTTTGGAAGAAATAACATTTGGAAACCAAACAATAATTACCCAACAATGAGCTGTTGTTCTCTGTTATTAATAAGCAATTAAAAAATCCCTTTTCATTATGACAACATGGGTGTATCTGCTTGCTGTTTTATGAGGTAGCACATGGAAATAAACAAGGAGATTGTTGTGTTTTACAGAGTCATTATCTATTCAACAAAATGCAGGAGTTTACACTGAAATACCTCGAAATTCTGACGTGTGGGCAGGGGGAGAGTGAGGGAGAGTTAAAGTGATATCTGAAACCAGGGCATTAGGGTCATAATAAATAGTCCTGGGGAGGAGACGGCCCAATACAAGTTCAAGCGTGAGGACGAGAACATGAAATGGCTTTGACCTCTAACCCTGAATATGTAGGGCACTGTGAGATTAATGTTGGGCATTATCTACAATAATGCTCCTCTCTCCATCATGGCTTTGAGGATAGCAGCATTACTGTAACTAGATCGAGTAAGATAAAAAAAAAACCCAGCAGGACAGAGAAACCACTGGTAAATGCTCCTCAAGAGATCTCAACCAGGCCCATATTCTAAGGCTATGGTTACATGTGTCATTTCAGTCCGACTTTAATGTTTCTGTCTGAAGCAAGGGTGTATTAAGTGACAGGTCACCGCGCACAAAAACTGGATTTTGCTTATGTTGCTATTGGATCTTCAAAGCTACATGTGGAAGTAGTCAGGCTCACACTGAGAGCAGAATCCCACCCTTTTTGATTCTGATAAACGCAGCCACATCAGATGCATAACAGACACTTTCAGACCAAGTGTGGACATGCAGAAATATGATATTTAGACTGAGAAATCACATTAAAAGGACAACTGAAACTGCAGCCACAATGATACACAGCATGCATCAGTGCACCATAGAGCTGAAAGAGACACGAAACAGAAATCACCAAATTAATTCAATGTGGATTGCTGCATAACTGATATATTACTACTTGAACTGACTCAAGGCTTGTAGGATGGAATATGATTTGTCATTGCCGGATTTGAATGATTGTTTTATAATGCAGGTCTTGTGAGATGTTGCTACTGCCCATTGATCTCTGCAGCAGCACTGCACTGTGAAGCCAGTTCTATCTTCCTACTCAGACTGTGTTACAGGGCCACGGTGTGCTACAGTTTGTTGAACATGGAGGTCTCCTCGTAGGGCCATCCAAACCAAACAGGAGTTGTGTTCTGCTCTCTGTGGGGGTATGGAGGAGCTTGAGGAATTAACATGCCCGTGTGTGTGTCTGTGTCTGTGTGTGGTGCAAGGATTGATGGTTGGTCCTGGAAATGGTCCTAGTTTAACACCTTTGCATGGTATTGGGTGAGACTTTCTGGATCCAAAGCTCAGCAGTGGGGGTCTGATAGATGTTTGTGTGTGGGCACAAGGGATTTGCAATGGATCAACTATTGGCTAGTCATCCTCTAGTGACTGATGCTGTCATGCTTTGTCCAAAAAGAACAGCGCTGTGCACGTATAGGGGGACGGACTAACTGGCAATGGCTTGTTCTCATAAAAATAAAGAGAGAGTTTGAGCCAAGATTCTCATGTTGTGTACCAGGATGTTTACAGCTGCTATAAGTGACTTTCCTGTGTACCTCAGGAATATTTTATGGGTGGACAAAGCAATAGGTCACACTCTAATGTTCAAGAAGTCACTCTGGAGTGTCGGGTTTAAAGTGGAAAGTGTCAGTTTAAAGGCTGTTTTAAGACTGTTAAGTTCCTGTTAGGGGGGAAAAAACATCCAGGCTAAAACTGCTGCCATATATAAATCACTACATTGTTGTTTCTTGGCTGCATTTCATTAAAGGGTCAGGTTACTCAAATTAAGGGAAAAACTGTTATGGAAAATATTTGTTTGCTTTCTTGGTAAGAGTTAGATGAGAAGATTGATAGCATTCTTATGTCTGTATGCATATAAAGATAAAGCCAGCATGTTAGCTTAGCTTAGCATAAAGATTGGGCAACAGGGAGGAGCAGCTGAGCATATCTTTCAAAATGTCAAACAATTTCATCAACCCTTGTGGTATGCAAGTCGTTTTGGATTTATCTGTCTCAAAATCTCGCAACTTTGAGATTTCTGCTTACGTGACACCAGTGGTGGAGGAAGTATTCAGAGTACCACACTGGAAATACTGAACAACAAGTAAACGTCCTGCAATGAAAATTTTACTTAAGTAAAAATATGTAAGTCAGGAAAATGTACTGAAAGTATTGAAGGTAAAGGTACTCAATGTAGAAAGATGTCCTCCTGACTGAAGAAGAAGAAGAAGATATACTTTATTTATCCCCTAGGGGAAATTATTCTTTTCACTCTTTTTTTATACA